TTATTCTCTTTTAAATATTCAATATTTTTACTTTACACAAATAAATTACAATTAATTTGATCAATAAAAATAAAATAAAAAACTAAATAGAAAACTAATTACTTATAATATATTTTCATAACTGCTAATTAAGGCACTAGAAATTTTTTATTGTTTAGACTATTTTATGAAAATGATTCTTTGGATTCATGTTTCATGACTTACATTGATATGGAAATCTAGATATGAACATATTGGTCACAAAATGATTGTGAAAAATATTTGAAATTGGAGTTAAATATACTATGGACTCTTATTGTATATATGCATATTGGTCTTATGAGTAAAGTTTGAATTTATTATATATCTAAAAATATTATGACCAATTAAAAGTGATAAATAACAAAGATATATAAGCTACACAATGATAGAAAAATAAAATTCTCATAAAATTTTGAAATTAAATTTAAAGGTTTCAATAATCATGAACTTGAAATTGGCCATTAGGCAATTACTATAGGCATTGAAAACTCATGATAACATTTGAGATAGTTAGTTTTCATTAAAAGCCATCATTATAAATGAGACAACTTCAATAGCCAAATCTACATGATTTGTAGGTATAAGGTTGATTATTGTAGTTGGCTTAGAATAGCTAGAAGCCAAATTGATGCCACAATCTTGATCACATTGTGGTAATTTTTTGTTATGTATATCGTCTAATTCATAGATTGTACAAATGATTTATCATCTATGGTTTTAGATAATGAAAATTTTAAAGTATATTTACTTTGGAAGCCATGAATGATTCAAAGATCTTGTGAATTTGAAAATTTTTATAATAGCAAAAAGAATATTATTTGATCCATTTGGGTGATGGAAATGATTTTGTTCATGGTAATAAAAAATTATTAATAGTATCCATGATGAAATAGATTCATATAAACATTTATGAATTGACATAAAAGTCTTAAAATGAGACTACAGAAGCATAATTATATTTAAAATCTGCTTATTTATGTAAACTATTATATTGAATTAAAATATAAAAGTTTTGGAGCTTTTATTGAAATATTAAGATATCGGCTAATTATCTTTCATTAAGGGTGGATTTAGAGGCCTCATACTTAAAAAAAAAAATTAAAAACCACCAAATAATGAAAAGATAAATGAAATGGTAATTTGATTAAGTATATATGATATCTTGATAATTGGATAAGATATTCTTTAATAAAAGAATGTATACTTGCACATGTTGGAGGTGATAAGAATAAAAAATAAATAAAAATTGCCACCATAATGTTGTAAGATTTTAGTATAATTTTATGAGTAAATTATACAAGTCAATAAATTTAGACACTTATTAAAGTCATAAAAAGGTCCTTAAAAATCTTAAAAGGACTAAAATTGTTTGGTTTATTCATTAAGTTTATCTAATTATATTAGAAATATAATTGTATTAAAAATGTATAAAAGTATGGAAATGGAATGGTTGAAATTAATAAATATAGAGTTATGGCCACAATCAAAACTAATTATTTCTTAAAATTATAGGAATGAAGCAACAATATCAAAAGCATATAAATGATATGCAAAATGAAAAGTATGGACATATTGGCCTATAAAATGAATATATTAGAGATTCAATCTCAAGTGGGAGTAATTACCATAAAAGAAAATTAAATTCTAAGATATTTGGTTAGTAGTACTACAAGTAGAATGAATTTAAACCCTTATTATTAGACACTAATAATGGAAACCCAACTTTGAATTAATAGCCTCTAATTACAAAGTTTAATGAGTAAAACAAGTTATTGTTATGTGTTTATTAAGCACTAGTAAAATCCATTCAAATTTTAAAAACTAGTGTGATTTATTGCATAAGAATGATGGGTTTTTATACTCTTAATAGAGTTTTAAATGTTTAAAGTAATGAAGACATAATGAAAACTCTACTTATATATATATATATATATATATATATATAAGTGGTGCCACTTAAACAGGAAGAATTGAGGTATCTCTTGTAAATGTTTATGAATAGGATATGCCATGGTTATAATCGTACTAAAGCGATTATAAACCTCTAACAGAAGAAAAAATAAATATTATATGTATTATATCTTTAATTCTAACATTAGAAATTGAGGTTTAATTTGCGGACACCATCAATTTCGTTAAAATTTTAAGATATATATGCTAATTAAAGGTTTAAACTGAGAGATTCCTTCTTGTATTCATAATATTTATTTATGTGAAAAGTTAAGGATTAAGTATCAACATTTCAAACTAATGGGAGATTGTTGGTAGTTTAGAATGTGTTACATCCCACATTGGATAGAAAGATTTAATTATTGATGAATAAAATTAAATTTTGTATTAATTTTATTTATATTTTAAATAATTATGTATCATATTATAAATGGTTATAACTATTTAAATATAAATGGATTATTATTCATAAAGATCATGATTATACAAAGGTCTTAACCATCTGAATAAAAATTTATGTTTGTTCATTCAGTATAAATAAATCTTTTAGTATAACCATTTTCACTATTTTTTATTAGAGAGTTTGAGGTTTTATTATATCTTAAAGACATAATTGCTTTTAAGAAAATGTCTTTTATACCTCAAAATTAAAATTATTTTTTATTATTTATTTTTTCTAATATTAAATGCAACCTACACTTGCTTACATGACCCTTCTTTGAGCTCTATATAAATTTACCATAAACTATCAACGACTCGATCATATCTTTGTTTTTTTTCTCATGTATAAGATAAAAGGCTAGATACAATAAAACCGTTGAATCCTATTCCTTTAAGTTTTCTTGAACACTTCCTGTAATTCACCTTCTTCGTCCAAAAATCCTAAGTATTTGATTGACTTCAGTACCATAATACACCATAAAAAAACTAATTCTGATACCTCATGATCATACTTTTTGACTGCAGATACAAGTTATCCTTCACACGACATCATTTACCCTGCTAGCACCCAAAACACCCTCATCACAAGTGTATACGTTTTTATTTGTACGTTCTAAGAAATCTTCAATTCAATTGTATTATGAGTTATTTCCGAAGCAATTTATGTTAAAATTTTTAGCCGTTGGATTTCAATATACTTACATGTAGTTTTAGCATAAGGATATTGGTAAAAATTTTTTGCAACTATTAGACAAAAATTTTTTTGGTCAATTTTGGCTTTATTTGACCATAAGACATGTGTACATTATTTTCAAACTTCACTTATGTTGGTTTTGGAAATTAAATTTTGTAGCATGTAATAAAGAGTTAAATCTGTAGGGTGTGATTTCTTAAGTTTCCTTCTTATTGAATAAAAAACAATAATGTTATATTATTTTACTTTGTCTGGGGCAATTTCTCTGTTGACAAAAAAAATTATTAAACAATTAACTCTTAAAATCAATGTTGATTTTTATTTTCATATTTAATTATTTCTTAGGGTAAGTCAACTGATTTATATTTTTAAATAAGATATTACTATTAAACCCAACAGATTTTTTTAAAAAAAATTAAATGAATAGTATTTTCTATTAAATAGATTCTTAATATATTATCATGAATATTTTTTTAAAATAAAATATTTATTTTCAATTAATATAATATGTAACAAAAATTATAATTGATTTGCCTACCATGCAATGACACGTACTTAAAATTAATAAATTAATAAAACAAAGTTCCCATGATGAAAAGGATGACGATAAATTAATAATTGTTGTGAATTTGTTTATTGGTTCTTAGCCGAAACACAGCACATTCATAACAAACATAGGGAGTTGAAATGAGAAGGAGATCTGAAATCTATTATTTGATTTTCTCGGCGCTGACTTATTGCAAATATAAATGATAAATCCCAACACGGCTTTGGACTTTTTCTTCACTTCTCTTTTCTTTTGTCTTTAATGTATTAAAATTTTTCACCATAATTATAATTAAATTTGATAATTAGTTTTTTATATTATTTTTATTAAATATATATAAAATATAAAAATTATTATATCATAATTCATATCTATATATTAAACTTAAAATATATATTTTTTATTTTTATTAAATTCATATATAAATTTTATTAAAAATTTAAAGTATATTATTTTTATATTTTATATAATTTTTGTTTTATATAATCATATTATATTTAAAATTATCGTATCTAATTATAGCCTATTTTACATTATTTCCAATTTTTTTGACCAAATTTAGTTTTTTTTTTATTGCATTTATTGTGAATTATTATTGTTTTTATTGCTATCAACCCTAAAAAGTTGCTACTCAATGTAAATAAGTAGAACCTAAATTTTTCCTTTTTTTTTTAAATAATAAAGAATCTCATACTAGCCACTTTAAGGGCATATATGCTACTATTAAACTAGTTATTTCCCTAGAAAAAAATAGTTATTCCAAATAGACATTTTTAATTTTCATAATATTTTAAAAATTTTTAACATCTCTCTTGCTTAAGTTCTAATTTCACATCAGTGTTGTAATTGAAAAAAATGGATTAAAAATAATGTATTTAAAAGTGTGATAAAAATATGATTTAAAAGTTTTATGTATTTAACATTATTGTGAAAAAATATTATGTTAAATTAAAATTTTAAAAAATATCCATAAAATAATAAAATTTAAAAATATGAAAAAGGAAAAAAATACAAAATGAGAAGTTTAATTTGCTATATTTATTTAATGTACCTATAACAATTTATCAAAATTTTCTCAAAGCAATTTATAAATTTTGTTTTTATATTTGAGATTACCGTTATTTGAATTTATGTTATTAAAATTAAAATTTTAATATCTTATATTGCTAAATTATTAATAATTTATAATTGAATTTCATAAAAAACAATTTATATTAAAAAAACGGAATTTAGTATAACAGCTGAGAAGGGGATAATGCAAATAGGCTGTGGTCAATGTGATGAGAACACTGATTGACTATAGACACTCCAAGTTGCCCCCACGTTTCTTTTGCACCATTCGTGGGCGCATTCTCTCAAAACACACGCTCTCTCTCTCTCCACCAATTTCGTCAAAAGGAAGGAAACAAACCTTTCTCTTTTCTTTTCTTTTCCTTTCTTTTCTTGTTTTCTTGCAAAATATCAACACCACCATCTCAGTGGCTTTTCAAGATTCCAATTTTCTTCAGTTTTTGGAGAGAAAGGTAACCATTTCTTCACTTTTCTGCTTCTTCGGTTTTCCATTTTCAAGTTTTCATCGTCTGGTAATGCCGCATTCTGCTTATTAACGGTTGTTTTGTCGTTCTTGATGTTGGTTGAAAGTGGGAACTCAATCTTGATCTAGATTTTTGAGTTTGGTGCTGTGGGTTTTTTTTTTTTGCAGGCTTTTAAGAACCGGGTTTTCCTTATTTTTTGTGATGTTTGGATTTTTAAAGGTTGTTGGACTGTGGAATCTTGGTGATACCAGGCTGGATGTTTAGCTGATTGGTTCTTTCGCCTGACTTCTTGGAACATTTTCTATTGGTTTCTGAGGGTTGCTGTTGTAAATTCTTTGGAGTTTTCTTTCCTATGGTGAAGGAGCTTTGGTACACGTTTAAAGGCTTGAATTTTGGCATTTTGTACTATGGAAACGATGTATAGATTGTTTTGTGGAGCAATGGAAGATTTGAGTGTTTAGAATTTCTAAATTGGATATGAGAGTGGGGTGAATATAGTAGTGTTAATCATTTAAAGAAATATGTCTTCAATTTTACCTTCTGCTATTCCACCAATTTCTAGTGATATCTCACCACCACCACCACCAGCTCCTCCTACCTCTTCTACCTCTAATTCCTCAACCACTTCACCATCCCCTACGTCGTCTCAGCCAAATCAAACTACTGATCCTTCGCCATCCTCAGCACCATCAAATTCTTCGTCTCCACCACCTCAAACCCCTCCTGCAGCTGTCCCTACAGCCCCTCCTCCATCACCACCTTTGTCACCACCACCGGCATTGCCAACACCACCAGCTTCTCCTCCACCATCTACTGCAGCATCTTCTCCTCCATCCCCTCCAGCTTCCCCACCTCCATCACCTCTAACATCTCCTCCACCTTCACCTCCTACTGCCCCTCCACCCTCTCCAGTTTTATCTCCACCACCACCATCAAGTGCTTCTCCTCCTTCACAAGCTGCAGCTGCACCTCCGGTTGCAACATCACCTCCACCTCAGGTCATTCCACGTTCCCCACCTCCTCCAGCTAATGTTCCAACATCACCTTCCTCAAAATCTCCACCTTCACCACCAGCAACACCACCAACTGAAAGCTCTTCCTCACCTCCTACACTAACACCTCCAACATCTAGCACTAAGTCTGCTCCTCCTCCTGCCACAACTTCTCCCTCAACACCCACATTATCATCACCGCCTCCTTCAGTTCCCTCAACCTCCTCACCACCTACAATTTCACCCCCAGCAACTCCAAGTACTCCTTTGACAAACGGAAGTTCTATTTCATCACCTTTGCCCTCAATTCCTAGAGAAAAACCAACTGCAAAGTCAACTAATGTTACCAATTCATCTGCAAATGCAACATCCTCTGGTAAAAATGGTTTAGGAGCTGGCGGTGCTGTGGCGATAGGCATTGTTGTTGGGTTTATTGTGCTCAGTCTTCTTGTGATGGCTATGTGGTTTGCACAGAAACGAAAGAGGAAGAGGGCTGGACCAAAAATTGGGTACAATATGCCTTCCCCATTTGCCTCCTCACAAAATTCAGGTAAATAATTGAAACATAACAAATATTGGTTTGTTAAATTTTGCAGGAGCACTGTAACATTTTCTTTTTTTCTTTACTAGTCTAAAACCTTATTTATCAATTAATTGAATGTTTGAACTTTTCCTTGTTGAAAATCTTATACCAAAACAGAGATTATTATTAGAATTTCAACGACCTTTCCTCAAATCTCAACAACTGAAAGGAAAATTTTTTAACACTCCTTGGCATGCACTCCTACCTTTATACCTTTCCTTTCTGTTCTCTTTTGGCCCTTGTTGTTTCTAATATAAAAGGCAAAGTCTGTGGTTCTGTTTTCTTATATGGGAAAATTGAGAAACTAAGATTAAATAGAGCTATACAAAGATATAACTGTGGGTGAGGTGCACAAGTCCTTTGCTAGGGGCATGCAGTTCTTTTTTATTCTGTAGATCTTGTTAATGACCCTGATAAGTGTTGTTGATCTTATATATTCTGTGGACCTATTTAGTTTTTTTTTTTTTTTATAATTCAATTGGGCTGGCTGAGGATTTGGAGTTAATAAAGGGAAAAGTTTATTTCAGGTGAATTTTCTAGGGGATTTTCAGGTCATGTATTACTTGGACTAAGATATTTCAATTCCTTCTTCTGACTTTTCTTGATATAACTGAATATTACTTCAATTATGCCGTATAGTGATATAGGAACTTGCATTGCTCTGCAGATTCAGTATTTTTAAGGCCCCAGTCTCCACCTCAACTAGTAGTGGCAAGTGGTTCTAACAGTGGTTTTCATTCACAGTCAGAGCCTGGTGGGGTTAATAATTCCAGGTCGTGGTTCACATATGAAGAGCTAGTCCGGGCAACAGATGGGTTTTCTGAACATAATCTTTTGGGTGAAGGTGGATTTGGTTGTGTATACAAAGGTATCCTCACAGATGGTAGAGAAGTGGCTGTAAAGCAGCTAAAGATTGGTGGTGGACAAGGGGAGAGGGAATTTAGAGCAGAAGTTGAGATTATTAGCCGAGTACATCATCGCCATTTGGTTCAACTTGTGGGGTACTGTATATCAGAGCATCAAAGATTGCTTGTCTATGATTATCTACCGAACAATACCCTTCATTACCATCTCCATGGTAAGACATCTTCTGATCATAAACTCCCAAGTTCTTCTGTCCTCTATAAGCATTCTCTGCTTATGATGAAGTCAGATATAATTTTATTTACAAAATTTAAAGTAGTTTGCACATGAGTTATATGTATGGTTTGGACCCCCCTTGTAAGAGGATTCCTATTCATTAACTTGTTTGGGCCCACACTGCGCAATCATCTGTACTTCAGTTGGGAAGCTCCCTTCTCTCCCAATTCACACTCACATGCACACGACTATCACCTACATGTTGAATAGAAGGTGAGGGATAATAGAAACATGAAAGATTCACAATTTATGATCCTCTTGTAGGGATGATAATGTTCTAATTTCTTGCACTTTTCTGAATTTGCAGGTAGAGGCAGGCCAGTTATGGATTGGGCTGTTCGAGTCAAGGTCGCTGCAGGTGCAGCTCATGGGATAGCATACCTGCATGAAGACTGTAATCTACCAGTTCTTTTTTCTTTCCTTTTTTTTTTTGGTTGTATTTTGAGACTCTATCATATGCTGCAAAACCTAAAATTATCGAATAAGAATAACAGTAGAGTTTTAACAACACCTAGACCTAGGTTTGCTGTGCTATAAAGTAATATATACTTGAAATTGTGTGAAATTGCCTTTCCTTTCATATGTCCCTTTGGTAATTGGCTAATCATCACATAATTTCCATTGTAACTTCTAATGCAACATTTCTTGTAATTATTTTGCGTTGATCAGGCCATCCTCGCATCATTCACAGGGATATCAAGTCATCAAACATTCTTCTTGACAACAATTTTGAGGCTCGGGTATGCCCATTTCCACGCTCTAAATTGTTGTGAACTCTATTATTTTAACCTTGAACTGCTTTGGGGGATTTTGATGGTGCTTATAAATGACTTATCATCATTTCTGAACTACAGAATTTCTGCAGTAATTTTAGATTTATTAACATTTCTTACCTTTATATTCTTAGGTCCTATATTGGGCCTTTTTACATTATTTTAGTTTCCCTTCTGCGACTTGTAACTCTCTGTCTCACACTTCATGTTTCTAATTACAGGTTTCAGATTTTGGGCTTGCAAAGTTAGCTTTGGATTCAAATACCCATGTAACCACACGTGTGATGGGAACCTTTGGGTAAGTTAACTTAATATGTTGGTTTGTGGCATATATCTAGAAGAATTAAACTTTATTGTGGTTGTGCATGATTCTGTTTTTCCTATTCTGCATAAGCATAATCAATTATTTTGTACTTTTTGATCTATTTAAAGCTTTCCTGTTGTAAAGCTAGCAGTTAAAGCACGCAGTTGGGATTTGAGGCATTTTATTTCCAATAACTTTAGATGTGCTAATTTGATTAAATGTGCACTACATTTTCATTTTCCTTTTTATTTTGTCTGCAAACATGCATGGTGTTATTGTCAAATATCAGACTCAGGTTTTTCTGATAAACGAATTTGTTCTTTTTTAGATATATGGCTCCAGAGTATGCAACAAGTGGCAAGTTAACTGAAAAATCTGATGTTTATTCCTTTGGTGTTGTGCTCTTGGAGCTAATTACCGGGCGCAAGCCCGTTGATGATTCTCAGCCCCTAGGTGATGAGAGCGTGGTCGAATGGGTAGGGCTATGCAGCTTGGTTATGTGTTATCACAAGTTTGTGCTTGCTTTAACATGCCGTTTGCTCTGATTCCTTCATAAGATTTAGCTTTGCTTTAAGTTTAAAGCCTTATACTGGTTGAATCTCCAAGAAATTTGATTTTCTTCTGAATAAATTCCGAAATCCAGTGTAATGTCACACAAAAAATTCAAATATTACTAAAACAAATTGTTTTGGCGTCAATCATTTGTATGTCTTGTGTAATGGGACCTGTGGCAATGTTCCAATATCAAGCATTTTAATATGATTCAAACTTGTTACTTAGGCTCGACCATTACTTGCTGAAGCAATTGAACATCAAGACTTTGAAGAGTTGGTGGATCCAAGGCTTGAAAAGAACTATGTGGATCATGAAATGTTTCGCATGATCGAGGCAGCTGCAGCTTGTGTGCGACATTCAGCTGTTAAAAGGCCAAGAATGAGTCAGGTGAATATGTTTTGAGTAATATGCAAGTTTCTTTTTTTTTTTTGGTACATAGGAATTGCAGCCTATGGATAGGAGTAATGATTGTAGATGTTGAGATTTGAATTTCAAACCTACAAGATGCCACGTTCATATGGAAGTTCTTTATTATCATCTTTGGCTTACACATGCATTTCTTTGATATTTATGTCTTAGGTGGTGAGAGCTCTAGACTCATTGGATGAGTCATCAGATCTCACAAATGGAATGAAACCAGGCCAAAGTGAAGTTTTTGATTCAGCGCAACAATCTGCACAAATCAGAATGTTTCAGAGGTTAGCATTTGGGAGTCAAGACTACAGTTCTAGTTTCTTTAATCACACTCAAAGCAGTTGGAAAAGTCGAGAAGACGGTAGTCAGGGTAGCTGGAGGAGTCGAGAGTATGGGAATCAGGACGGCAGCTGGAGTGAAGAGCATAAGGAGCATAGCACCTTAATGCCTTAAATGCATCTTGGGCATAAAAGACAGTCAGATGAGTTCAATGCATACCATTACAAGAAAACTGAATACCTGCTGAGAGTTCAGCTGCATCGCAGTTTAAGGGGGATGCCTTAACTCTCAATTTTGGATAACATTTTGAGACCCAGATCATGAAATCTGGTCATGCTGCTCACGTGATGTGTGATATTGAGCATTTTGTTCCTTCTAACCTTTTTTTTTCCTTGAGCTCACATGAAAAATAAAGAGAAAGAAAAAGCTTACATGATTTTCCTGTAAGAATGTTGGTGCATGTATTTTCTATGTTCTTTAGATTCATTCATACCTTTTTTTTTTAATTTTTTTTATTTGTATTTACTAAATCTGTACAAGGATTTTTTTTTTAAAATAAAAAGAAGCTGTACTCAGGAGAATAAAAAAAGAGGTTACAATTGTTGAGATTTAAGTTTTAATCTTCTTGTAATACTTGTATAAATTAATTAAATTAAATTTTAGATTAATACATTATTTTTTTCATCATAGCCCATGAATTTGTTTTAAACCTGGAAAAAATGAAAAGAAAAACTGTAAACGCCTTTTCCTTATTTTTAACTAATTACAAAATTTTAAATCCTCATTTCCAACAATTTTCACTACCCCACTTATATAGAGGCAAAGATTTATATAAAATTTTATGGGTAAAGTTTGTAAATTTTTTTTACAAAAAATGAATAAATAAGAATTAAAACTGAAAATTAAAATTGATATATTAAAAAATTTCATTACTATAAGTATGCAAAATTTGTAAAAATTTTAATAAATTTTGATATATTTATTAAATAAATATTTTTAATAAAAATATTAATAAAAATTTTATTGTTAAATAAATATTGATTAAATTTAAATTATAAATAATATTTTTAATAATATTTTTATATTATTAATTTTCATATCAAATTTTATAATTTTATTAATTTAAATTTTTTTATTAAACTTTTTATTTATTTATTTTTAATAAAAAATTTCACAACTTTTACGAAACCCCAAGTACGTTTTAACCCTTGTATATGGCATTAACTTTTGGCCTCCACTTTGGAGCTTAGCTGCGCCTTGATCGTATATGGTTTTCTCATACCTGCCTAGGTTGACACTGTTGATTGATTGTCTACGATCCTAACCGTTTGCAGGTTAGCCAACAATCCTCATCTCAGCTGTCAACTGCACAGCGGAATAAAATCCTTGTCTCTCACGTTCTACTATTGCATTCTTTGTTCTACAAGATGTGAATTAGTTAGAAGGATACGCTTGATATGAAAAATGATTATGTTGGAATTGAAAATAATGATAATAATGAAATTAGATCTCATAATATGTGAGATTAAATATTATAATAATAAGATTAAAATTAATAATAAAAAATATATATTTAAATGTAAATATAATAATCATAATAAAATTAAGTATGATAGTTCGTAATCATAATTAAAAATATTTTTATCTTTTAATTTTACACATTGTTTTAAGTAGAGCAATTGATTATCCAAGATACAATGAGTCATTAAACCTTGTCCCTTCTAATTGAAAAATGAAGGAATAACTGAGGTTTTGGCTCCTAAGTGCACCGCAAAGTGCTGGAATCCAATGAGACAGAAGTTGTAAAAATCCAAGGAAATTATTTCTTTACTCGACTACATAGGGCCAAGTGTGACATAAATCCATTATTTTAGGGAGACTGCACTTACCACCCTCTTGCTTTTATCTATCTTCTCCATATACCTTGCAGGAGCCTCCTTTAATATAAAGTTTAGGCCTTATAAGAAAGAAAGGCTTAGGATGTAACAGAAAGACGAAAGAAGTAGTGGTACCAAAACTAGTTTTAGTGCTTGTTTTAGGAAATGAGCAAAAGTTTATTGTGAATGCTTTTAGTTGTAGCTTGATTGCAAGAGAGAAGAAACTTATATGTCTTATTAGTGGAAACTCTTACTTAGGTTCTTTCATTGGCAAGGAGCTATTAGCTAGCACCTTGTTTGAGTCACCGTTTAATACCTAGATAGTTAGATTCATTATTTAAATCTCAATATCTGTAATTTTTTTTTTTTTAATTTTAGGGTGCGAACTTTTTTGTACAAAAAAGTATGTTAAAGTTTGATATCATAAATGCCAATGCCATATGAAGTATTTATTAGTCTTTTTAGAACCATAACAAAGTCACCAATTTGAAATGATCATGTCTTGACTTTCTTGTTGAAAGCTTTGGATATCTGAACTTAATAACATTCAAAGTGTTGTTGAGCTTCTAACCTCTTATTTAGACCATCAATTGTAGCTTAGTTTATCTCTTCAAATAATAAAAGAGTTATATGAGCATCTTCTTTTTGGGATTTTTTTTTTCAATTTCTTCTATAGGCACATGATTAAAAGTAAAGATTTTCATATTTTTAGACTTTTCCTCATTTGGATATGGACTTTGCTTGGTTGTTACCATTGTGTGCTTTTTAGCCTTCAATGATTCACCAATAGTTCCAGCCTTTTGCTTTATCTTTTTATTCAAGAAGGAATCTTGATATAAAAATTCTTAGATTTATCCAACATGAGAGATTTTCTTTTCGAGATATATGCCACCTTTTTAAAGTTTAAGTTTGTTAAGCCTTGAATGAACATGAATAGATTTACTCAAAAAAGATTTAATAGCTTTTTTTTTTAATAAAGCCCAAAAATTGTCTTTTGATAAGAATGCACATTTAAATGGTCAACGACTAAAAATAATGATAATTTAGCTGAATTTTCATGCTCATCCAGAATGTCTTGCACATTTATGTAACTTTATTTTTTTTTTTATGAATCTTTAATTTTAATGGGCAAAATCAAAACACAACCTTAGACATTCCAACATGATCGATCTTCTTTCACCAAACTTGTTAGATTTTGACCTAATTGTGTGGATTTTCTTCTATTGACTTATATGTCTTGTGAACCAATTTTGAAATGTTTTCTTACTTGTATCTAGCCTTAACAAGAAGTCTGTAGGCAATGGGATCAAAATCCTTCATAGGATATGAAGGTAGATCATCATGTTCAACAAAAGGTCCTTGCAATGGCTTTGTAAATACTTTTGATGAAGGTTTAGAAAGTTATGATTCTTCCAAGCTAGTAAGAGGAAAGGTTAAATTCTTTAGATCTTGAGTAGTTTCATCATTTTGATAGCAAGTAGAAGGAGCCAAACTTTTTTTCTTTTGTTTTGACTACTTCACTTTGTTATTTTATTGACCTGATAGTAATTCTTCTACAAAAACACTTTCCAAATAAAACTTAGCATTAACAAAACACATTTTTGCTGTAAAAATGGCTTAGGATTTGCAATAATTATCTTTACAACATTTGAAGCATTGGTGTATACATGGTTGCCCTAACTACATGTTGTATGTTGTCTTAGTATCCGTCATATGATTTGATTCCATATCTCCAATGTAAAGTTGAGGTCTAACTTTTCTATGCACTCATTGCGCTCTTCAATTGAAACAAAAGACTTTGTGAGAGTTCGTTTAAAAGAACTCTAGATTTTTCATTATCTTCAAATGAAGGATGTTGATAGCAGAACCATCATCTACTAAGATCCAATTGATCATTTGCTCAACGAAAAGTGATCAATTATAAAGAATAAATCCTAACAACAAATCTTCATGAAAAGAAAAAAAAATCTATCTTTGTAGCATAAGAAATTAGAAAAATCTATCTTCGTAGCACAAGAATGATAAGTTTCAAATGCTATATCATGAATGTTGGTGTCTTCATTTCCAACATGATAACCAGCCATGGAAACCAAACTTCTTTCTGAACTAAATTGTCATGTATTCATTTAAAGTAATTGGCTTTCTTGATTTTCTCAATCGAATTTTCATTCCTCAGATGAAGTTTGTCATGCCTTAAAACCAAGATGCAATGTGACAATATTACCTTGAAGTAAATTTCTAAAATAATATGAAACTTTTTTTATCATTATTGAAAAATTCTCAAATAAAATAATATCCTGAAGAAATCTTAATATCATAAATCAATTAAATAACAAGTCTCTAAATTGTCAATGTCAAGTAATATAACTAAAAAAATAATATTTCATAAAATCCTATTCACCAAATAATGTCTTTAATGCCTAGATTCTTCTAGCTCTTCACAAGACTAAACATACTTATCATTTATATCATTTGAAAAGGAAAAGTAAACGGGGAATGAGCAAACTATAGCTAAGCAAGCATAGGCTCATACACATTACCAGATTAAGCATTATTTTCATACATATTATATAGATCATTCAAAATATTTATCAAATCATAATTCAATAGCAAAACATGTAATTTCATAAATCATTGCAACATATGATGTCATTTAAACATCATAATCAAACCAAATCATTAATCAATCTTTAGAAATTATTATAAATCATCATCAATTATTTTGATAATCTATATTTATACAAATCATGGAACAATCTTTAAAATAAAAAATTCAACTTCACAAATTATCATATTATTAGTTCATCATTAGCTACAATCACTACTATAACCCATGACAATGACTGTATCGATAATTTCATACTTATGATTATTGCTAACTATTATAATCCGTTAGCCAGTACTATAGAACTAGTTTTAGTGTCGATCTTACTTCCTAGGGATGTTTCGTAACTATATTAAAATTGTTCTTTAAATATAAATAATTTCTTATTTAATTCATAAGTATGCTTCATCATTTATATAGCAAAATATAAAATAATCATATGATTGATCATATTTTCATATATAAAAAATAAAGAAATAAACTTGCACTCATTTAGAACATACATATATACATAGGTTTGAAAATAAGTAAAATGTGTATGATTTTACTTACCTTTTTTTTCATTCCACCATAATTTTTCTCTCAAAATAGTTAATGGTTTATTTAAGATCATATTAACATATCAAAAATTAATCAACTCTTTTTTGAGACCATTCATGTTAAAGACAACTAAGTTATACAAAGATTAACTCAACTATTACTAGTAGCCTGACCTCTTTTCATTAAAATGACCCTATCTTTAGTATACAATTTAGAATTAAGATATTTTTAATGCGTTAGAAACTAGACTCAATAAACTTTTTAACCATATATGGCCACCTCTTAATTACTTGTGGATTAATTGTAATAATTTTTACAATCTACGTCATATGTTGCTAGTAAACAACATAAATACCTTCTAGACAACATGTATATCTTCTAGTAAAAATTAAATATTTATTTATAGGAGACTTAGAATTTAGTTTCGCTTCTTTCATTGGAAAGTAAACTCAATAACATTTTCAAACATATATGGCTTAATTCATACTTTATTGTGTACAAATTAAGAGAAA